AATTACCTTTTTTTTTTCCATATGATTATGGCATCAGTTAAAGTATTTGCAAGTTTTCCTGTCCTCTGGGACCTCAAAATTTTAAACATCCAATCAGAATTCTTGTGAACCAGAATAACTTTTAGAAAACCACATCAAAAAGCTCAACAGAATATGATTCCTTTTTTAAATATCGGTGTAATTTGATAATAATGTCCTAAAGGAAATACTTTGATTTAACTTAATATACAGAACACTTCATTTGGAGTTTATTTTTCAGTTTTTCACTGAATCAGAAACATCAGTTCTGATTTTTAGTCATTGGAATAGTGTAATATATTTTATTTGTAACTAGTACTTTAAAAGAATGCCTGGAATAAATCCTTCAAAGGAAGAATGTTTACTGTTGATTAAGCAGTGAACATATACAAATAATAATTCTCGTATCTGTCTGTAACTAGGAGTCTGATTTATTTTGATGTTTATGTTGGAATTCTAGCCTTTTAAACTGACAGTTTGTTTGAGGAATCTGAAGCTTCATATTCCTTCTCTTCATTAATCTGTTATTAATCTGTACATTGTTAGGTGAAAAGTGAATAGCAAAAGAAGCTTTCAAAACTGTTTTCCTGTTTAATTTCAAAATGTTACCATTGGTTCTTTCACATTTGCAAGGAGTTGTTTATTTTATCTAAATTGAACATTTTCATCTCCATAAGTTCTAAGTCCCTTATAATGGGAATTATAATGAAAGTGTTGACAGAACCTTAATTTTAATGCCTTGGCTGAGATGTTTTTATGAGAGTTTTTTTCCTGAAACCGTAGAAAGTGATTATTTTTAGTAAAATATTTCCATATGTATACCTTAGCAATATTCATTCTAGAAAAAATACACTTTCTATATGGAATTATACATGGTCACCGATTGAATACTAGCCTGCAATTCAAGTTATGTGTTCTGTCGGCATCAGAAACCACAAGGACACCCAAAGCAGAGCTGATGTGGTTCAGAAATGGAAGTTCTGCAATCCACGCCTTGACTTACAGCCTTGGTATTCCATATCGCCATGTGTTCATTTAGGAAGTAATATCTTTTTGATGCATTGAACAGAAACTATGACTTACAAGAAAGAGGGAGAAGTAAAGCATTCCAAAGATCTGCAGGGAGACCAAGAAAATACGATGAGACATGCAAACAGTTGTTAGTACACAAAACATTTAATTGAGATGCCAGGCTCTGACTTGTGTATCTATTCACATAGCTTAATGTTTTCTCTTTTTTTGGTCTGTTCCTTTTTTTAGAGCACCTGTCAAGTTAGATTTAATTTTTAATTCCCTTCTGGATAATTTTTAGTGCTGGGGAGTGGTGAAGTCTTCCAAATAATCTTTTCTTACAATAAACATTTGCTCTTCTTTGTTCAGAAGCTGGTTCCCACAGAGAGTAAACAACCTTTTATCCATGTTTATCAGGTTGCTACTTACCATTTTCTTTGCTACATCGTTTGTGGAAGTGAAAAGGTTGTTAAAAGAATCTACTGCCCATCTTTATGCAGGTGTAAAATGGAAGCATACAGGCAAACTCTCTTAATCTGACAGTGAGATTCTGGTGCCACTAAAATCAGCGGGAACGCTGCCGCTGTCAAATGGTGCATGTATTCAGGGGAAGGGACGCAAAGGAAAACAGCGAGTGGAAGCGGGTCCGCAATCGGGGCAGGAGGCGAACCCTTCCCTTGCCCACCACATCTCCACAGGTGCCTCTGCATAATAGGTATGAGGCTCTAGATGTGGAGGACAAGATGGTGGACGGTACAGGGGTTGACCCATCCACATCGGAGGAGGCACAAAGATCAGAAGGACCTCCCTCTCGTATTACTACCAGCTTCACAAGGAGGAAGAGACGAGTCGTAGTTGTAGGAGACTCCCAGCTGAGGGGAACAGAGGGTCCGATATGCTGGGCAGACCCTCCTCTCAGGGAAGTTTGTTGCCTCCCGGGAGCACGGATCAAGGACATTGCTAGGAAACTTCCTAGACTGGTCCGACCCTCAGACTATTATCCTCTGCTACTCTTCTACGTGGGTGCAGACGAAGTTGCAGTAAGTACCCGACAGTAATTAAAAAAAAATTCAAAGCCCTAGGACGATGAGTAAAGGAATCTGGAGCACAGGTTATCTCTTCATCGCTCCTTCCAGTGGTGGGCAGAGACGTTGAGCGACATAGGCAGACTCAGTCTATCAACACATGGCTCCGTGACTGGTGTCACTGCCACAACGTTGGGTTCTTTGACAATGGGACGACATACACAGCACCAAGCTTGCTGGCATCAAATGGGGACCAGCTTTCTCAAAGGGGGAAGAGGATCTTTGCCCA